CTTTGTCAAAACTAATGGATACTACTGGTAACATCCGATATATCATCAATTTTCTGTGCTGAAAAAGCACTTGGTATTTTAGGAAGTACAACTGTCCTTCATACAAGGACATAAATACTCCTTTCAAAATATTATACTTAGATTAAATACATGGTACTTAAATGAAGATGACCCTAGCTTCTCCATGCACAGCGAAGAGAAGGAATAAAAAGGCTTTTATCTAATTATAATTATTGAATTTCAATATAAAAATAAATAGGTAGGTACCTAAACATTTTTAGATACAACGCAAAAGCTACGAAATAATCTTGGCCCTGTAATAAAATTATGCTAGACAACAACCTACCTTCAAATATGGGTAGCAAGTGTCCTAGTTTCGCTTTGTCCAGAAAACTACTGACCTGATTCTGGTTTTCGTCCATTTTTGGTTTAATCTAGGTATTCAATGAGAATAAATTAACAGCAGTGTACACTAAGGTGTACACTTTTTCCACTCGACTGTCTAAACACATCCAAAAATCCTTCTCAAAAAAAAAACCTGTCGTACTGCATGTGCGTTCTAGAAACGAGGACGACACGGCCAAAGTCACTACCACAAAGGACACCTTCTGCCTCGCGTCTCGCATCCCATGGGAAATTGGAAAGGGATATCCGACCATAGGATTCAAGCCAAGGATTGGGTTTTTGAATCAAGGTATATTATCTTAGTTAAAGATTACCTATTGCATTATAGGTTTCTTTTAATCAAATGCCTGTGTACTTGGACTAAAATATACTATGTTGGGTTATTATTTGATTTTGTTTCAAGGAAACTAACTCACGGCTTGTTTCCTTCAGTTAAATGACTGAGATCTTGAACCAAAATACAATATCTTGGTTCCAGATCACTACTTAACTATGTTTTTCAGTTGAAGAAATCATCCTTGAAATAAGAAATTTTCAAAGCAAGAGAATTCATGAAAATTATTAAAGCCAAGAAAAATCTTAATGCAAGAGTTCGTTATTTTTAAAAGAGGAAATTTCCTTCATTTGAGATAATATTATTCCAAGAGAATTAATTATCTCTTTTCAAGATATCCTTTTTATTAGTGTGCGTATACCTGCAGTTGGTGCGTATTATTGTTTGGCTTGGCTTTGAGTTTCAGTAAAGTAGTGCGGTCTGGGTATAGGATGAAATACACAAAATATTTTAATAGGTAGTTCTTTTGTTATAATAAACCCCAAACCTTTCTTATATATCTGGGATTGCCAGAGTAGAAGAATGCTCCGTTCTCCACACTGCATTTCCCTAGGTCATCAAGTTTTAGCAACACCGCCAATACCTAAAATATTGTCACGGCTCTGGGGTGCGTGACAGAACTCCTCAAAGTCCAATTAACCCAAAAATAATTTATTCCACGTTACTACACACTCTGACACTAATTACTGCACTAATTAACTCAAACAACTAAACTCGTCACAACTCTCAACAATAATCACTATCTAAATCATATCACAGTCAATCTTAAACTTAAAAACTACTAACTAATATCGGCCTTTATATATCCGCAATCTATTCGTGTACAATCCAGAATAAAAACGATAATATTTGTGCCCGAATAAAGTAGTATTTTCTAGATCTCAAGTTAGATCTTGTAAATTCTGGCGAACGCCCAATTTGGGAACAGACGTTGTGGTTATGTTAGTTTTTGTTTACCCCGAGTATTTTATTTCCGGGTAACGGGTAACCTCTATATCTAGAGTGTGCTCCAATCCACAAGTGGCGAGGATCCCAATGGGTCTAGCTTCACCCAAGGGAAAATAAAAACAAAATTAGATAGGTACCTACCTATACAATTTTTTTCAATTTATTTTACTAGACTATTGAAGAGGTAGCACCGGCTATATAATATTTTCAGGCAAATAAATAATTGTCGTTATTTCCAATTCAATTATTCAAAAGGAAATGTCTGAGAAACTTATCTAATAGATTAGATAACACGCAAGCAATCCCGTCCAAGATTTGGAAGTATTTTTAAAACGACATTGTTCATTTACTTGTAATCATTATAAATGAATATAATCTTGAATTTTTGGGTAAATATTTACTACAATGATATAGAATAATAATTAGAAGAATAGATAATGCTTCAAAAAAACCTGATATGAAAAAGGCCAGTTTACCTAGATGGAGTTTGGGTCTTCATTATGATTTAGGTACTTATACTTACGTACTTACTTTTATTTGAGAATTAAGTTATATAATAAAATGTTTAGAAAGCTCTTAATTTCTTTCTAAGATTTCTTTTCCTGCAATAAAAAAAAATTATGCTGACGCCAGCTCAATTATTTCTTGTGAACAGTACCATTTACGGTTAAATGAAAAAGATCAGATGAACTTCAAATAACCGGAATTTCAGTTATTAAAATCAGTTTATAACTTTTTTCGGCTTCTCGGCATTTTTCATTTAGGTAGCTTAAATTACCAGTTTACCGAGTAATTTTTAAGTGCTTTGAGTAAAATGTGGACTTTATCATAATCCTACATAAAAAATTTCACAAGATACTTTTAACAGTGGGATTTCTTTCGTAGGCTTTTGAGAAAATCAAATGAAAAGATGATCACAGGCAAACCGTAGATTTTATTGATGCATAGTATTAAGTAAGTAATAAAAAGATTAAAAAAAGGATTTTAGAGTAGGCGACACAAAGACCATATAAAAAATTGCCTACTATAAATAAGTATTTATTTTTAAATACTATAGTCTAACAAACTTTATTACGCAAAAGTAACGGTAACCAAATATCCAAAACTTTTTCCCACTCAGTAGAAGTAAGCAATCGTACTAGCACATCCAAAAAATAATAGCCCGCTGGATTTCAAAAATGTACGACGTATTAGTTTATTGAAAGTTCTTTCAAAAGTCTTTGAAAAACTTCAGTACACAGCATACATCAGTAGATACGCTGATGATACGCAGGTCTACGCTAGTTTCGACAAGTACGTATGGCGCTGAAGCAAGTGTGGAGCTGAGCAACAGTCTGGAAAGTATTTCCGGATATTTGGAAAAAAATAATATGGTTCAAAAATTAGTCCCACTTAGTCCGCAATAATGTATTTTGGACCAAATGCAAAATGGGCGAAAGAAAATATGCGTATTGCCATAAATGGTATCGTTTTGGATGTAGTAACGTAATATAAAAACTTGGGTGTTGTATTTAATACAGATTTACACTTTAGAGCCCAGATTAGCAAATTATCTCAAAGATGTTACACAATTTATACAAAAGTAAATACATAGGTATTAAAATGAGAAGTTAAAAAAAAAAAAATCTTTGCGAAACCCTAGTGCTTTCAAACTGTAATTAATGTAGTATTGTGTATTCATCATTTCTTGACAGGGCGTGCAGATACAAACTCCAGCAAATTTAGAATAGTTGCATTCATTTTATATATAGGTTCAGGGCTATAGGGATCATGTTAGTTGCAAATTGCGGGAACTAGGTTAGCTCAATGTGCAGGATAGGGCTAAACTTCACTTAGCTTGTTTTGTTTGGAAGATACTGCGTTGTGGAGCTCCTGTATATATTAGAAGTCAATTATGTTTCAGAAGTCAGGTGCACAATCGCGGTACCATGTTTCAGTATTCCCAAGCATAAAACGTCACTATTTCAGCGTTCATTTTCCTATTTGGTTCCAAGGTTGTTTAATGGTGAGATATCTGGTAGGTTTAACGAAATGTCCTCCCTTTTTAGAGGTTTAGACTTGCTTTTAGGAGGACCTTACTAAGTCGATATTGACGTGACTGTGTTTTTTCAATTATTTTTTATTTATTTTCTCTCCCCCTTTCTTTTTTGTGGGTGGATATTATCGAATTTATTCTATTTGGCTGATACACAAAAAAATTTTGGACCATATGGTTTAGTCATAGGTGAATGATGTTTGTATGTACAGTGTGGTCATTTTATCTTGATAACATTTCAAACTGTCATAATTTCTTTATTTTTGAAGTTATTTAAATAAATAAAAAAACATACTGTAGGGTTGGTTTCCAAGTTTTAGATAGGGTGGACAAAAAACAAAAGACTGATATACTTTGACAGTTATGCACACAAATAGCATTTTTTTTAATGGAACACCCAGTAAATTCTTAAATTGTTTGATAATATGTTTCATTCTGATTGCAATACATATAATACAATACACATAATACAATTTACTCTATATTTACATGCAGAAGTGTTTTATTGATGCTAACAGAAAATTCTGTCTACCTACCTAACTTTGCAGGTAATCTGTGTAGGTAATCAATATTTGCAGTTAGAATAAATGAAACATTTCTGTATGTAAATATAAAGTGAATTGTATTCAATTGTATTGTATTGTATATAATGCAATTAGAATGAAACATATTATCAAACAAACTTGAAATTTACTGAGTGTTCCATTTAAAAAAATGCTTTTTGTGTGCAAAACTGTCAAAATATATTAGTCTTTTGTTTTTTGTCCATCCTATCTAAAACTTGAAAAACAACCATACAGTATGTTTTTTTATTTATTTCAATAACTTTAAAAATAAAGAAATTATGACAGTTTAAAATGTTATCAAGATAAAATGACCACCCTGTACAAGTGATAGCGTAGCGGACATTTTTACCAAGTCTTTATACAAAAAGAAAATTGTTTATTTTAGAGAAATGGTGAATGCGAAATTGTAAATTATTGTAATAATGATGTTAGTTGCCCTATATTTGTGATGACATATTACACTCCAGACGAAATATTTATTAAATGTCAAAGAAAAAAAAAGATTCTTCTGATATTATATTTTTAAGATATGTATCTAGAAAATATCGATTTAAAAATATTATTTTGGAAATATTTTTGAATACATTTTAAAAATATTTTGAAACCAATGTTTGGTCACAAACATTTTTGAAAAATGATTGATTAGCATTGTTCTAACAACAAAATTTTTCTTATAATTGCTAGCAAGGTTCCTAACCCTTACCGGCCTTACCTTTGAATTTGCAGGACTGAAGTCGAAAACAAACAGAAGTACAAAAACAATCCCGAATCCGTTACGCATAGTTCACCGGTATTTTATCACATGAACGCACAAAACCGAAAACCACCTACCAAGAAGTAAAAGAACACACTCATGGTATCTCGAATACAAAATATTAAAGCCACATCTTCCTACATCTCAGTCTAACTCTTTTATCAAGAAAATTACAAAAGAACGTTATCGAATGCATTAATCTAATCTAAATATATGCAAATAACAAAACATAGTACGCGCTCCTGAGTGAATGAAACGCACGTGTATGTTTCGAGATAGAAAAGGTTCGTTATGTGCTGACTTTCGAGAGAATATGCAACTAATGTGTGATGCTGGCTGGTGAACTTGACTCGAAAATAAAAGCCAACGAAAACCCGATCTCTGATAGGACGCGCCACCACTCCGTAAAGCTTTCGTACAGTACCAGTTTTTCATTCGGGGAGCTTTTAGGCACTTAATAGCACTTGATTGGTACTACTACACAGTGTTAAATAATTCTCTGCAGATTTACTCTAATAATTACCTTACCTGTTTGTCATTTTATAGGTTCTGTCTAGTTAATTTGTCGGAAAAGCTCTGTACAGTTTTTGAAGAAAAGAGACTTTCCGCACGAGTTAGATTTTAGATATTTTTACTTTTAACTTTTGCGCACTAGTGCCGAAAATGAATGCGGAAAAAGGGTAGGTACTTTTATGACCTAAAATTTTTGCGGAAAAGCGGATTTCGCGCACGCTCGTAGAAAAAAGGTTTATTTCATTACTTTCATAAATTTTTTCCTATTATAGATGGAAAGATGAAATTTTCAGTGAATCTTATCCCATCAGTGGCGGACTACGTTTCCTGAAAATTTGCTCATTTGGACTTATAGTTCTAGAAATGAAATCATGTTCAGCAATTTTGGGTGATTTATCAATTTTTCAATTTTTCTGAGTGTCTTTGTTATAGAATGTGGCTCAAAATCTCAAAATAATTTAGTGTATGGAGTTTGAGGTATCCCAAAGGACTATTAGGACACAAATTTCGGGATAATTTAGTGCATAGAATTCAAGGGATCCCAAAGGACCATTAGGACACAATGTCTCCACAAAAAAAATGTTGAAATTTCATCGTTTAAGTGAAAAGTTTATTATTTAGATTTTGGAAAACTTTGAAAGATCATAACTTTTTTTCTATTAGAAATAGAAAGCTGACATTTTCAGCGATTCTTATTCCAGTGGCGGACTTGAAGTACTAGAAATAAAATCATGTTAAGCAATTTGGGCTGATTTATTAATTTTTCAATTTTTTCTGAGTGCATTTTTTCATAGATTTCGGCTCCAAATCTCTGGATAATTTAGTGTATGGAGTTTGAGGGATCCCAAAGGACCATTAGGATACAAAATCTCATTTTTCCCGATTGCTTCTTTCCAAATTGTCACCCTGTATATCCGACGTGGCCTGAATGGAAACATCACTGTCGCGGCATGCAATGTATTAATGAAACTTTGTGTAACTAAACCACTCGGCTAACGCCTCGTGGGTTAATGTTACACGCATTTCATTAATAACTATAATAAACCAAGATAATAATGAAAATATCAAAAGCCAAAAAAAATAATAAGTCAGTAAATATAAACATTGCTTATTTGCACAGTCATTAATCTGTAGGTTGGTACCTATGACCTGACACAAATACAAGAAATGAGATTACAATAAAAACATCACAATAAGTTTCATCACTTCCTCCTTTAAATGGGTGTCCCAACCCATATCCTTCTAGCTATAGACTTTGCTTCTAGGGTCAACAACGAATAAGTCACAAGTCATCGGCCTATTTTATTAAGTATGTACGGACAATACTACTTTTACCTGATGGATCATCACAATAGGATTAGAAAAATAGTTTCGGGTCATTTTTTTGACTAGGATTAGGTACTTTCATAATAACGGAAGATTTTGAAATAATATCTTAGGCTTAGTTTGAAATTTATCGTGCATCTTAAAACCTATGGGAAATATACCTACCTGCTGACTTAATACATTATTTAAAATTCCAGTGGTAGCTGGTATTTGAATCGAAGTTTTAGTAAAATAAAACAACTATTTGAAGTTAATTGACAGCTACCCCAACAGCTTATACATTAGTGGAAGCGATTTAGGGATGCGATTTTTATTACTTTTTAATGAACTAGTTCAGTAGTACTGAATCCTCAAAATGTACTAGTACAATGTACTAATTCTTTAGTACATCTACGAAAAAAGGAAACAAGGGAGAAAAATGCAAAAAATACATATTGAAACTTTATTTAGTATTCAACAAAAATAAAATGAATGAATTATTATTTGCTAAAAGTTACATAGGTATACTATTTAGCATTTAGGAACTAAAAAAATACAGCCTTGATTTCCTGATATTACATTACACTTTTGTGTTTTTGGTTATCCGGGTTATAAAAACTGTGTTCCGTTTGTGCTTTTGATTAAACCTGTCGGTTAAGTAGGTTTCTTCACATTCCGTGCTCATAGATTTTTGTTTTACATCTGTTTTAAACTTGTTTATTATAATTTTTGTACCTATGTACCTATTACGATGAAAAGAATGTAGGTACTATAATATCATGGGACTCTAATATTATGGTATTAGTACATATAGTACATTTAAAGGATCAGTACAATTGTACTAGTTCGTTCATGTACTACATATCCCTAAAGCGATTCAAAGTAGTCTAATGAAACTATTTTCAAGAAAGAATAAAGAGGACTCAGAAACAATGTATCATAGTTCAGAAACAAGAAACTAAAAGATGAATTATTAAACGAGAAAAAACTTAAACGTTACAACAATAATTATTAATAAACAGAATGTCTTTCCTTTAGCAATTTTTGTGTGTGTGAGATTTAAATTGAATAGACTTCTTTAGAAAATTCGCAAACAATGAAGCATCACATAAATTTTCTTCGGGTAGGCCAGCATCAATCTTTCATCGCCAGTGGCACCAGGGGCAGTATAAAAAAGAAGTAGTCTAGCCGCTTCAGCCGCTGACCACGACCAATTCGTATAATTTACTCGGCAAAAACAAAGCCTATATAGCTCATCTTCATAATTAATATGAACATCTCGTCCCTTTGGATTTCGGATGCAGCTAAAGGATACCGTGGACTCTCAGACAATCTTACAAACAGATTTTCGAATATTTTTCTATTTTCATGTTGATTTAGTAGGTATCCTGATAAAGTAGCTACTAACAAACAGGGAACATCTATGGTAAAACAATAACTCACTCGTAAAATAATTAGTCTTTACACGCCATAGGACAACAGGAAACACATTTCAATAAAAATGTGGTTTGGTAGAACATAAATCCAATTAAATAATTCAAGATTTACAAAAAATTATATAGCGATAATTTAAAACAACAATAATAATTGATAATTTATCCTTTGAATCATAGATTAGTCGGTTGGTGGCCTTTGTAAAGTTGTAATATATTACTATATATAGTCTTTTTAATACCTATTTAGAAGTACCAGTCGTTTTAGTGACAAAACGTATGTCGCTTCTTGACACACAAATAAATTTTGGTTAGGAATTTCCTATTTGTACATGAAATTGACGTATTAGCAATCGACGTTCGTTTTTGTTGGTAATTTTTTGTTTCATCTGATTCGTGATTGATAAATAAGGATGAGGTTATTCTAAATGGGTATTACAAATACTATACCACACTGAGACCCTGAGTGTCAGTTCTGAAATTCACACAATCATTTAGATTTATGTGTATCATTTCACTAATCATTCTTTTTGTGTAATTTGATTCAGTGTTTAGAATTTGAGGGTTCTCAAACAGGTATCCATGCCCTGTGTCAAAATGGTGCTGGACTAATGCTTATTGTTCTGGTTTCTATTGTTTACCACATTCACATGGAATTGAGTAATCAGGGTTGGATGAACCCACCGGGATACCGGGAAATTCCCGGTGGGCCGATCGGAATGTGGGCCAATCTTTAGAACAACAGGATTATCAAGATATATATACCTTCAAACCAAAGTCTGAGATCAAACGGACGGCCTCAATATTATGAAAGTACATAAGAATGGTCAATTCAACTTGTGGCGCATTGAAAAAAGAACAACGCAACCAGGGTTGTTACAGACCAATTTTTGAATGTGTAGATTTTCACATTGAAATTGTGTAGCAATTCAAACAATTGTGCACTGTCAATTTGACAATCGAATAGGCATCTCACAGCCATGACAGCAGACGCTCGCGACATGTCAACCGGAGCATAGAACCGGAGTCTCATGCTCTCATGCATCCGTTTTCCGAAGTCCGATGTCTGAAAAACCTTCTATCTGACATCTTTTTATACGATTATGTCCAAATAAAAGGTTTTTCGGACATCGGACGAATTTGTGCTTTGAAGTTAAAGTAATAGTTTTGGACGCTTGCAACAACTTTTGCCACTTTCCATGAGCAGATCTGATCCAAAGATTCCAACGAAAAACAGAACCATCTTGACTCTGACACTCAACGCTTATTGCGACATCTTTGGAAGTGGCTAAATTCACTATCGTTTCAAGAATTTTGAGTTACGGAATAGGTGATTTATCCATTGTGTAGCATTTCTGTGCAGTTTATTAAAAAGTGTAGCAGACAGATGAAATTGCTCATTGGGGTGCACCTGTGTAATCGATAGTCCAATTGTGTAGCAAACTACACAATTGTGTAGCTTGTAACAACCCTGAACGCAACATGAAAGAAGTATGAAGTGCTAAGAATGTTTGACAATTGGGGAAATACAGGACTGGCAGCAAATGATGTAATAATTCAAGACTCATTTTCCACAATTCATTCTCATAAAAAAAGGAGATGCCGCGGCTGTTTTACGGAAGGAATTTAAAGATTTTGGAAGAAAATGGCCTGACTCGAAAAGGACGGAGTTGTATGACCTCTCTGGATCTAATGATGGAGATGAAGATAATGTAAAGTAGGTAAATGACATAGGGTTGCATAGAGGGAATGAATTAGAACTTTCTGAAAAAGTGTTAATCACATTCACTTTGCAAACAATGTTTGGTTTGCTGTTTTAATGTTTCGTATAACTACAGATTATACATCCGTGCTAGCAGCCATCTTCAAGGCTTTTACCAGTACATATGTCTTTATTTTAGCGTGTTCACAGGTAGGGTGCGAGAAATGCTTTTCAATACTTGAAGACATAAAAAATCGGATAAGGAATCAATCGACTTACAATGGCAAATTTGGATGCGTTGATGATAGTGAACTTACATAACGAAATCTTAGGATTGTTGACTTTTGAGAAGATTCTTATGCAAATGTTTAACTTAAGCCCCCC